CTTTTTCAACATTGTTTATCTAATGGTAACAAAGCTATCCAAAAATTTTGAAAAGAGAAAAAATCTTCTAAGGCATATCTAAGCACCTCAACAAAATTGACGGCTTATGTTGATTGGGCTAAAATAACACTTTCTATGGTGCATTTTTAAATTTTGTTTTTTTTTGGTGATTGTTCAATGGAATGAAAAGAGTGTACATTAAAAAATTGAGATCAAACAAATGGTACTAAAATAGTTTTTGAAGATTGTTGCATTATATTGCTATACAACCATTTTTAAAAATCACGTCGGATTTGTATCGGATCCACATGTACTTGGATCTGATCTGAATTAGTATTCAAATCTAAATTTTGGATTCGGATCTAAATCTTGGATCCATACCCGGATCTGAATAGGATCTAAAATTCGGGTTATGGATCTAAACTGGGTAAAGTCTCAACCCTAGTCGTGGACTTACAAACCCTATTACAATAGCATAAAAGAATATATCGCTTTCCCAAAAATTCATTGCATTATCCAAATGTGTAAAAGATGATGGCCGCACTTATCTTACAAACCCTACTAGCATAAAAGAATATATAGCTTTCTCAAAAAATCATTGCATTATCCAAAAATGTAAAAAGATGATGGCCGCACTTAAAAGCCCAATATAGTGTTAGCAATTTCAAAATAAAATAAAATACAAATACCTAAATGTGTAAAAAAGATGATGGCCGAACTTAAAATCCTAGTATAGAGTTCGCGACGGAGAAAAAAAATTACAACTAATGTACCGGACACGGTTAAAATGAAATAATAAAGAGATTACATTGACTATAAATATCAAGATTAAAAAAAAATTCATCCGGTTCACAAATAGTTATGGATACCAAATTAATAGACCGATAACCATAATCCTTCAACTGTAATAATTGAAATATAAATGGTGATGATGCGCAGGCCCGCTTAGACGCGGAAGTGGAATAGACGATCCTAACTTCCTAACTAAAGTGACTAAGTCCATGTTCAGTCCAATCAATTATCCATTTATTCCACTTTATAATCTATTCATTTATCAAATAAAGTGATTGGAAGTAAGCTGATCAGTATCCTCCAATATCTAAGTAAAATATCAAGTAATTACTTTATCGCTTCGGGCCTTTTAACTGAAATGCATCAATCCGTAATACTAGCACCTACTCTACAATCCCATTGGTTAATAATGCACGTAAGTATGATGTTGTTGAGCTATGCAGCTCTCTTATGTGGATCCTAATAAAAGTAGGAAAAAGAAGCAATCTAAGAGCAACAAAGAAGCATAATTGAATTTAGTCTTGAAAAGATATTTACTTTTTCAATTCAGATGGGATGATTCTTTGAAGAAAAAAAATGATCAATAACATCAAATTATATTGTCTCCTGTTTAGACTCATGGATCCAAAAAAAAAAAAATTTACTTTTTATACAAAGAGGTCACCATCATTATTGTCCCTTAAATTTTTAAATGGGTGGCTATAAAAGTACCATTAAAGACAAAAAATTTCTAAAAAAAACTCGAACTTTGTAACTCACCCATGGACATCTAATGAGAGAATAATTATAACCACCTTTAAAAAACATAAATGGTCTCTTTATAGACAATCCGGTTTCTTCAACCTACTCATTAAAACACATTATAACATGCTATGCTGCCTATTTAAAAGAAACTGGAATATTTTTTTCCTTAAATAACTGTGTAATAGAAGTACTAAAACCTCCAAATGGTGCCTCAGGCCTTAGCTTGTGGAGAAAAGTTTTGATGTGTCCATACTCAACTGTAGTCTCCTTTAAAAATTTTCATATTTGATATGGATTCTAGATCTAAATTTCATATGGCTATGATCTCGATCACTATGATCATAAATCCCAAGAAATTGAACTTCAAAATGTATTATTTTAAATGACTTAAAATGAACAATGAACAAATGATTCACAAACAAAATATGCTCTTGTGGGATATTTGGTGTCTATGAATCATATTATTTTAAAGAAAAGAAAATGAATTTTGAGTTCTTAAACCGTCTGGAAATTAGATAATCTCTTGTTCAATATGGAGACATTTCGAGGCGCATTTATTTATTTATATTTCGATGTGCATTTATTTATTTTTAAGATCATTTACTATACTGAGTTTTACCCGGGGTAATGCTCCCTTGGCGGGTAGCATCTGTTAACATAGAGAAAATCATAACACCGCATTTTTAGGAAACTGAGAAGCATTGTTAACATAGAGAAAATCATAACACCGCATTTTTAGGAAACTGAGAAGCATTAGAAGACAAAGGAAACATAAAAATCATGATACTATATTCTAAATGATTTAAGAAAAAAAATATATGGAAGGAGGTCACAAGCATCATTGACCGTTAGATTTGAAATCAGGTAGTTGAGGTTTTGTCATTATTTGGACACAAAATCTAAAATAAAATTTATTGAATATTATGATACATTTTTTTTTATTGGATTCCACATCTAAAATGATTGTGAATCCCCGTGTATAAAAATAAATAGTCTCATATACAATCTCAAAATATATTTGTATCCTAAAGTTGTAATAGTACAACCAAGTTAAATTATTTTGATGCCAATGCGGTTCTTAGTGCATTTGTATGCGACGCTTCTAAAAAATGAGGCTCGAGCTCATTCGAAACCGCCCGAGTCACCTCAGAAAAGGCTGGAGAACCGTCCAATTCCCCTGAAATCGGCAAATACACATTTAGCCTTTTGTTACAAATCGACTTTCAAAAATTACATTTTTCTTTCATTTCTTTGCCAAATCCTCTTATCACAAATCATTCATCTCTAATTGATTAGTATAGCCATGAATTTCTTTTTTTTTAAAAAAAAGTTGAATTTTATAAAATATTTTTTTAAAAAATATTTGTTCTTATAGACCAATATAACTGCACTTTTTATCAATTTTCAAAGAAGTTTCTAGAAAACCTTCTATGTTTTTTACTTCTTCATTTTTCAAACTTTCTTGAAGCTTGTGTTCTCTTCAATGATATGAAATTTTTTAATATCCATTTGAGATAGGCTCTCGAAAAGTCCGATAAAATCGAGAATAATGATTTAGTAAAAAATTTCACCAATGTATTATCATGATAACATATTTCCCCAAAACGAATTGTACTACCAAAAAAAGTTACCCACATATTCCAAAAAAAGAAAAACTCTCCAAGAAAAAGTAATCCCTTAGATACTTGGGGCCCGTTTGAGTAGGAGTAAATCAAGAATTTTGGATATTTAAAATTCGAGAAAAGTTATGGATTTGCAATATCAAGATTCTTGTCATGGATTTATCATGTTTTCTAAATCAAGAGCATCATTGTAGGGGGAAAAGAGTGATTGATCTCATAGCTAAAATTGTATGGAGCTGAAAATTAATGTGATGTTCAAATATTTGATTTTGCTTTCACAAATTACTTGGCACACGTTAGCTTTATACATAAGTTCAATCAACTTCACCTGTTTTGGGGCCTTTATTTTATTTTATTTTTATTTTATTTATGGCTTCATTAGTGTATGTACGCAACATAACGCTTGAGATGTACCATTGTCTCACATTTTCGGATTTTTGAGTTTTTGTCAACTAAAATCATATTTTGAGGTTCTTTTTTTTTCGAATAGCAATCACATACCTTCTTGTTTGTCAGTGTCGTACTTAGTGTTGTTGTAACTATATGCACCCAATAAATAAAGAAAACGTTTACCTTTGATACATGGAGTTTACAACAATTATTGTCTTTTAAATTTCAAAATGGATTGTTGTAAGAGTGTCATTGAATAGACACGAAGTTCCAAAAAATAAATCTCACCCCAAGCCATCTAAGTTGACATCTAATGAGTGACAGATATGTTTGGTGTCGCCATAGTAAAGAAAACTTTCCAATGTTTCGTTTAATAAACTTTTAGATAAAGAATTTGTCGAGTTGGACCCTAAAGGCTATAAAGACATGACAATTATTTTTCCAACTTTACTAGTTACCCTTACAACTTCAAACTATAAATTTATTTTATGTCATATGTATCTATCCGATTTTTTTCACCCCATTTTTTCTATCCAGATCTGAACTATGAGCAGTTTTAAATCTGAAATGTTATTCACCCTAATTTTTGACAAGACTTATTATTATTTTTGGTTAGACTTTTTTGCCACGGATATTGTACATCAAAATCGATTTATTACAAGTATTTCAGTGTTCCGATATTCATTAATGATAGCATATACTATGCTCTGATGGGAGTATACTGGAAACTTACTCCTACTTCGGAGAGTTTTTTCTTAGCAATTTCGGGAACTTTTTTGAATTTTGATTTTTTCGACACTGGGCCCTTGTAAAGTTGGACTGTTCAATATTGAGACTATTTTTTCTAGCATAAAGAAATTTGAACTTGGAATTTTTTTAATGAGGTTAGTCTATGTGGTAAAAAGGCTGCAACCCAAAAATTTAGAGGCCTTAATATTACTTCAATATTGGGTTTTTCCTTAAATGGACAGTATACTCTCACAAGTGTATAAAATTTCATAAAAAAATATTTTGAAAGGGTTAGAATTCTATCAAAATAAGCAAAGCCTCACCACAAAACCCACTAAAAATTATAGTTCTCTCATTCAAATCGATTATTTCAACCTTGACCATTTATTTGTGAAACTTTTAATAAAGCCGAATGACGGATCAGGATTCGTGTAACCGATCCAATTAGTTGAGAAAAGACCTTGATGATGATAATAATCCTTATATTTGTGTAAAAAATTAAGATTTCAAGCATTAAAAATATTGTGTATTATAACACTCACACACATTATGTAAGCAGTTTATTTAGCATTAAACCTAAATACTTGTTTGGATCTATACCATTGTTGGAGCTTCAAAATACACGTTGAGTTATGAAAATTGATTTTAGAGCCCTCTTAAATATTCCTCTTATATCGTTTTCCGTATTTTTCCGACGAGATTTCAAGGTAAGGCCTTACTTTTGTTTCATAAGGCTTAGGCCTTATAGAAACTGCGTGCCCCAACTTGCTCAAACCGAGCTTTAATGGTTTTTCTTTTTCCATTAATTTCTCTAGGGTTTTAGATTGTTTGCAGGTAAGCACTAGAGTTTGTTCATTGTTGCGTTCCAACAGAAGAACCATACGCGTTCCTCTCATCTCTCCCTCTCTGCAACTTGTAGTTGTCAAAAATGGCGGACGTCATCCAGTTCAAACTGGAGAAAATGCTCGATGAGCTTGACGACGTGGTTAAACGAGGGATTTTCACAAAACCTGAGGCTTCCATGATTCTGAAGAAGAGAAGGGATTTTGAGTACCGGCTGAAAAGGCCCTGCTCTCTTAAGCAGGACTATCTGGCCTATATACATTATGAGAAGCAGCTTGATGCTCTGAGAAGGCTGAGAAAGAAGGCTTCCAGGCGGCAGGATACGGAGGATGAGAATAAGAGGAAAAGGAAGAAGTCTCTCTCTGACTTTACTGGTGTTTTGAGGATATTGGAGACATACAAGAGGGCGGTGACCAGGTTCAAGGGGGATTTGAATATCTGGTTTGAGTATTTGGAGTTTTGCAGAGAACGAGGCCATGGCCGAATGAAGAGGGTGAGTTTTTTCTTTTTTTTTGCTCCTCCCGTTTGTTTGAATCAATGTATATAATTCTGGTTTTATGTCAAAATTTAATCAAATGAATTCATCAGTTTTTTTGTTTATTATTCAATGGCATCATGAAGAAATTCTTTTCCTCATGTGAATGGTAATCATGGGATTGTTTGAATTACATTATGCGATTTTGTTAGAATTTTCTGTTTAGGTGTTTCTACATTGAATTGAAATTTGCGGACCTTCATTATTTTTTTGGGTACTTGCTGTTTCGAATATGTAAAAATGTAATCGTACAGCTATTTTACTCAGATTTTTCTTTCATCAATTTGAAATGGGTGAACTATTATTTTATCTCTCCCTGTAGATAATTTTAAGTATTACTTTATTTGCGTGCTTTGAATCCTGTTGTGTGATTTTAGGAATCTAATGTATTTATACTTCTGTTTTGAATTGAAATTGGAAGACAACCAATTTTTTTTACACTAAATTGGAAGACAACCATTTTTGTTTGCTTTTTTTTTTTTGATAATTTGAACCATCATATTGTTTGAATGCAATGATTCAATTCATATTCTTTTTATGTTACAAGCAGTGTTTCAAACCTTGGCTGAGATTTGGCTTGGACTTGGCACCCTTCCTAGGCGAGTTTATAAGACGAAGTCGGGTTATTTAAAATCACTTAAAAAATATAAAATTTTGTTACTTAATCACTAAAAATGATGTCTATCCATGCTTCTATATAATTTTTATGTTTTTTATTTTTCCTTATTCTATGCTCTAATATTCTATTTTTCCCCTTTTTGGGATTTTTCTGAATTGTTTCAAGCTGTGATTAAATTTTTTCATAATCCATCTTTTATATACTTTTTTTCCATTTTTCATAGACTTTTAATGATGTCTATAACATCTTTTGTTTTTTTTTTTACTGATTTTTAAATATTTTTAACAGTTTTTTGTATTTATTTTATTTTATTCTGCAATTTTTAAGCCTTTTTTGGGCTTGTGCGGGACTCAGGTGAGTCCACTGGCTGAGTTACTCGGCTCAGGCAGGGACAGAGTCCTGAGCCCAAGCTGAGTTCTGTTAACATTGGTTACAAGTTTAGCATTTAGATGTTTCTTAATTGATTTAGGATGGGATAATTGTCTTTTTTATTTTTTGCTGGTAATTTGGTCCATCATTTGAAGTTAATTAAAATTTTCAAAAGCTTCTTTGTATTTTTAAGAGTCTACTTTTCTGAGGTTTCTTTGTCAAATTGATATGGGTGGAGCACCTTTCCTTTTTATTTTTTTTGGGTAAGTTGAACCATCATTTTTCAAAATAAATGGGTCAGTTGACCTTCTTAATGAAAATTTGAATGTCACAGGCACTCGCTCAGGCACTCCGTTTCCATCCAAATGTCCCTGGCCTTTGGATATATGCTGCTGCCTGGGAGTTTGGGCAGAATTTAAATGTTGCGGCTGCTCGTGCACTAATGCAAAGAGGGTTGAGAGCATGCCCCTGGTCAGAGGATCTTTGGGTCGAATATCTTCGAATGGAATTGACTTACCTCAATAAATTGAAGGCTCGGAAGTTGGCTCTAGGAAACGGTTCAGGAAGTTCAGTTAAGGTTGAAGAGGATGATTGGAAAGAACAAAACAAAGATTTATTTATGTCACTAGATAATGGAGATGAAAAATCAAATGATGGGGACATTCAAGAAGCTAAGGTGGATGAGGATTTGGATGCTAAAGCTAAGGTGGATGAGGATTTGGATGCCCTTCGAAAGCAGGGCTCTGATATCATACGGACTATTTATGATGCAGCAGTTGAATCCCTTCCCCATAACCTAAGTTTATGCAAGAAATTTATTGAAATTTTGGAAAATGCAGATGTAGCAAATATGGATGGAATAAAGGAGGATATGACAAGTAGTATTCACAAGGAGTTCTTGAGGGATGAAAGCTATTGGGACTGGCTAGCAAGACGTGAACTTTCTAGAGGAGACAAGGAAAGAACTGAAGAAGATATGCTTTGTCAATTGAATAAAGCAGTGCAAGTAAGTTGATATCTGAACCACATCAACATTTGATATGATTCTAATTTTCCAATTCCTGTTTTAGTATTATACATTATTTGTTGGGGGACTATCATTTTATGATAGGTCATCTTGATGGCATAAATGGAAAAGTTAATTGTGGATATGCTTTTAATTGTTGTTACAATTGGGATATAGAACTATGTAATGTGTTGCCCTGACATGTACCGCAAAAGCGCAAATCATCATATATTATTGTGTTTCTCTCAAGGGTTTGTTTGGGATAATGTTTGGATTGCATGCATAAGAGAATGGAAAACCCTTAAAAACGCCTATAGGCAATGCTACAGTGTTTTTTTCCCGAGAGCCATTGTGGGTTTTCTTGAAAAGTCGCAACAGCTCTCATAGAACCATGGCGGTTCCCGTATTTTCGCGTGAAAAATCGACCGCAACGGCCCGCAACAGACATAGTAGAGCCGTTGCGGTAGATTTATCCATGCCGTCCAAAAAAATCGGTTGGCACCGAGCCTATGGGCAAAAACAGTGTTCATTTTCGCCCATAGGCGTTGTGTAGTGGCTGTCAAGAGAAATATGTAGTGTTTGAAAAGTTACAGTTTCGATTTTGTTTCAATATTATTGCGAAAGAAAGGAAACTGTTCATGGTGAAGTCTTTCTTTCTTCTCTCCTAACTCTGTTAGTCATTTTGAGTTTGGCATGGATATTGAATCCATGTCTCTCATATGTTAGAAAATGAATGCAACTCTTTCTTGTCTTATGGACTGCACATCATATCATTTCTCCGTTAGTTGGTGCTTTGCAATGCCTGCATTTTATTTATTGATCAACCAACTTCCTACGTGCATGATTTTGGCTCATGCAGATACAGGCTTGCATCTGGTAATTGCTTTGTTTTAGTCAAATGTTATTTCCTAGATGTTTTATTCGAAAGAAAAGGCTCAACCTGAGAAAAGCACTACAATTGGATGCAACCCTTTCCATGTAAAAAAAAATGACAGTGTTTCATGTAACCACGAAGGGTCAAGTGCCTTAACCTTTACGATTTATTTTATAAATCAAATTTGTAAGCACGAAGGGTCAAGTGCCTTAACCTTTATGATTTATTTTATAGATCAAATTTGGTAATTGTATATTTCTATATACTTTATGGAGGCAGTCTCAGACTTGGTAGGGGCAGTTTTGATAATACACCACGAAGTAAGGGTCAAAGTTAAAACATTAAATAATATGACAAAATCTTTTTGCATATCAATTATTATATAGTTAAATGTCAACACTTGTTGATGATTTTTCTTCTCTTCTCATGGCATGTGATGCAAATACCCTCATACAAAAATTGCTTAAAAAGACAATTAGGCAATTTAATGTCCAACACATTTGCAATATATATGTTTATATATGTATAATCATTTTGTTATTTTAGTGATCGTATGTTGTATACAGGACTGAAGTTCTTTCTAGTGGAACATTCCCTGTGCTCTGATGCCAGACATCTATGATGACATGCTACATTATGATGAATGTGATATCTGTTATGTACTGTGTTGTGGTAGGATGGCATTCCTATTTTAAACCATATCCTGTATTGGCTTCTCCTAATGACAGATGCTTTCTCTTTAGGTTTATGAAGAAGCATTGAGTGTTGTTCCTTCTCCCAAATTGTTTGAGCTATATGCTGCCCTCTGGTCTGAAATCATTGCTTCTGAAGGAGGTTCAGAAGTTGTTGGTTTCAGCAACTTAGTGTCCAATGTTCCACAGTTCATATCGACTTTATTGGAAGTTTATGAAAAGGCTGAGTCTTGTGGGTGCATGACCCCGGATCTTGCCCTACAGTATATTTCCATGTACTTGAAGCTTGGAAAATTGGAGGAAGCCAGAAAACTGGCAGCAAAGCTTTGCATTGGTGGAAGCTCAGGGAAAACAAAATTGTGGCTTGGAAGGCTTTTAACTGAGATAAAGTGGGTGACAACAAAGTCTGCTGCTATAAGTAAGGATGATCAGCAGTCTTTATTTGAGCTCTTCAAGTGCATTTTGACAAAATTAACGATCCCAGAAGCTGAAAGCTTATGGCTCATGGTATACTTATAATCTTGCCTTCTATACTTGTATCTCTAGTCTTATTTCGTGCAAAGGAGTTCTTTATAGTTGCTACTATCTAGCTTGCACCTCTTCTAATGGATGCTTTACATGCATCATATGTTTTTTTCATTACAAATGTGGGGTATGTATCATAATAGGTAGTTAGCATAGTTTGTAGTTTGTTTTTCAAATTCTATATTTGGAATTCCCAAGTCACTAGCTTAAGATCACTGCATGGTTAAAATTGGGCAGCTTCCTTGCTTATTGACCTTGGAGTAACTTGAAAGGCTCAGGGTTAGCTGGGGTAATCTGCTTGCCCTTTTTGTGGCTTACAAAGTAAATAATATGCAGCCATGATGCTCTAGTTTGTTACTTCCTAGATAAGTCCAGAATATAAGAATGTTCAGTATTTTAGTGAAAAAAAAAAAGCTACATTTTGACGGATGGAATATGCCACCCTGTGTGAGTACCATATTGGCCATCTTAATCAAATTCACAGGCCATTTGTGTTGTTATTGAAGTTTTCCCTGCCATCTACTTATTTATTAGCAGTTCCAATTTTTTCCTGTTTTCCCCCTGATAAACCTACTGCCTGTTGGTTTCATGTTGTCAAATATATAAAAGTACACAAGTAATCTATATGCTGAGAAATTGTTTTTGGCTATTTATTATCTTCCTTTTATTCATTCAATCACAAAGTTGATCAGTGATGTCACCATTGGGTTAGCTTCTGGTATATTCCTTTGAATGGGAACTATGCTTCAATTGGCCTTTACTCATCTATAGAGCAAAGTGCTTTCCTTCCTGGGGGTCCACATGAGGGAGTTTATATTTAACCACCTCATTGGCATCACTTTCTGGTCTATTCTGTATGGTTTGAACCAATCATCGTGACTGTGGTTTAAGAAATTGCAAATTTTATATAGTTAGGCTTTTATTACAGTTGAACATGTTGTACTTTATTTGTTCAACATCCACCAATTGATGTAGTTGTTTTCTTTGGATATTAATGTTACTAAGTGGCAATTATGATATTGCTATGTCGGATCTGAACAGTAGAGTTTCATTTTCATCTGAAAGACACGTCTGATTTTGAAATCTTTCTTGGAAAGACTTGGGCTCTAACTTGTTTTTCCTGGATTAGATGCTGTATTAGTCCTTACATGGTCTTGCAGCATAAGTATGCCCAGAATCTCATTAAGGACACTCATCTCATAGATAGCAAGATAATGGATATGCCACTTGAGCTTAACATGCAACATTTGTCAAATCTGGGGTAGTCTTTCTAATCCTATACATTGCCGAAAGTTAGCGGGTTGATTGTTAGGTTTTGTTGGGACATTCCAGCTATTATGCATGCAGTTCATGACATCTCCTCAGAAGCTATGTTTGACCACAGTTTCCATGATAGTATGTCATGTTTTGCAATTCACACAGACAAATGTAGGGATCTCTACTTATCATCTTCATTGGATCTCTGAAAACACCCTAATTCTTCTTGCGCCGATGGTCCTGATTCCAGTTAGTTGATAATTGGTTTTTACTTTTCTGCACACTGTATACATCTTGGAAGTGCACAAAGCCAGACTGATAGAGTAAATACGGTGTGGTACTGAATATAGGATGATGATATCTGTGGCATTGAGTGGGATTGTTTGGTTTCGAGCACTTCTTGATATTGGATTACGTATGCTTTCTCCTTATCTCAAAGTGATAGTAGCCAGTGCTTTTTGGGTTGTTTTAAATCTGTTTTTTTGTAAGCTGACGAAGCTCATTGATGTCAACAGTTGTTCTACTCAAGAAAGGTTATTCTGCAGAACACTGTTTTAGAACTTGCTGAGTCTGACACGGACTCCCCAAATTACTCAAACCTGCCAAGGTTCCATTAAAAATCTCAGGAAGCATCTGAGTCTCCATGGTTCCTTTGGCCGATGTATTAATTATCCATAGACTCGGTTGGGTTGGATGGGCTGACAGTTGACTTAGGCTTAGGTCCTGACCATTCCATACCTGAATCCGAGATTTCAATCATTGGGGCAGAATTATGGTGCCTCCACAGTTCTACTGCATATGACCATAAAATATGAATTAAAAAACTTATGGCTATTGAATTTTATGAGTTTTTAGTGCACAAACACTCCTTATGATATGCATCATCCATACCAAGCTTAAGGGGAGGAGTTAATATTATAACAGAAATGTAGTTATATATTGTGTACATTAAGGGTATTTTAATCATTTATAACTTTGTATATAAGGTAATCTTAGTCAAAAAAACTTCGCATATATGGCTAATCCTTTTCATCGGAGTAATAAAATTAGGTGAAGGTTAAAATAAGGTGTAGGCCTCATGGAAAAAAATGTAAAGCTACGTCTCAAATCTCACCAAAAATTGTAGTTTTAGTGTTGAAAAACCTTTAGATCGATCATCTCGTTCTTGACCATTACGAATATGGAAAAAAAAAAGGTTTCCAAGCCCAAAAAAGTGTATATTTAACATGTTATCTAGAGCATCCATTTTCAAGTTTTCATAGATCTGCAAGATTTGTACCAATTTTTGAACTATGAATTTCATAATTAGTGGTGGAAATAGATTTTAGAGCTATCGCTAGGGTTTCCCATGCCTAGAGTGTTTTCCAGATGAAGTTTGGAGGTGAGGCTTTACGTTTTTTCCATAAAACCTAGGCCTTATAGAAACCGCATCAATAAAATTATAATGCACTCTCAAATTGCAAATTTTATGACATATATGTCAATGATGATGATGATGATAATCCGAGCCTTTTCCCAACTATTTGGGGTCGGCTACACAAATCTTGATATGTTATTCTGCTATATCAAGGGCCATACCCGCTGTGAGGTCATAAGTCCTCATATTTTTTCTCACTACTTCCAACCATGTCCATTTGGGCCTACCGCTTACCCTTTTGAGCCTTCCCCTTGAATCAAATCGCACCTCCTAATAGGTGCTGCACTGGGTCTGCACTGTACATGATCGAGCTACCTAAGTCTACTTTTCTCATCTTATCACTTATTGGAGCCACACCTAAGTTTTTTCAAATGTATTTATTTTGAATTCTATCCTATCTTGTCTTGTCACTCATCCATCTCCTCATATCGTTGGTTTAGGATTCATGGAAAGTTTTGGCGAAGTTTTATGTGGCTGCCTACTTAACACAACCCACCTCTTTTACCCGGGCCTGAGATGGGTTGAGGGAAAGTTTAAGTTCCTCACTCTTCTTAGACCTTATCTCAGTCATGAAATGCAAAGGAAAATAAGCTATAGTAGTATTTGAGTCTTTCATGATAGCTTATGGCGAAACCCAACCTTAAGCCTGCCATATGTTACTTAAAATCCTTGCTTTGACACACACATATATTGACACATGTACAACATCAACTTTTTTACTTTATGCTCTGCATTTGACTCTTGCATGCTGTATTGCAGGCTTTGAAGATTTTCTCAAATCAGAGGGACCATATTGACAAACTGGTGGAGATTTGTTTGAGACAGCTTGCCGGTGGAGGTGACTGTGAAGCATGTGGGTCAGTATCTTGTGCTCTCCTGAATTGTGCTCTTCAAAGAGGAGGAATTCAGCGTGCAAGAGATATATATAAGCAGTGAGTTGGCAAAATATGGTTTATTGAGCCAATTATAGTTGTCCATACTTACTTAAACGTTTCTCTTTCATATTTAAGTTAATATGTTCCTCGGACAGCCACCTCCGAATTTTTTGAGTCTTGTTCATTGTCTGTCTGTCCTTTGATTTCTTTGAGATTGAATTTCATTTTCAAGGGTTTGTTGGTCTGCTTTATTTATGAGTGATAAGGTGCTAACAACTAGAGCAATCCCCTTTTTCTGTGAGATTTTTGATCAATTAGATAAATTGCACAGATTACTGAAGCAATTCTCAACATCACTAAATCATCTAATCAGGAAATTATGATGATTACAAGTGCAAGAACTGCAGTAATGCTGCTGAGATGGCTACAGCTACCACAGACTACAGCCTGTATCTTGTAATTCATAAATAGAATGAATAAATCTAGGTTTACACTATGATCAACTCGCCCATCAGCAATCCTCCAGTCCAGAACTGTCTCATGTATAGGTTACTTGAAGTACCTCCCCGACATTATTCTTGGAATCATTTGAGATATCAATGATATTGCTGTTATAATGTAATGCTTAGAGGGTCAAAGTGCGCTTGTATCCTAATGTTCATGAAATATATTGCCTTCTTGATTACCAGATGATTAGATGTGATTGTTTAGCATATTGAAAATGAAGTCTCCTCATTCAAGACTAAATTTCTGCTTCAAGCAAAAAGGATTGGAGATATAATGGCTTTCCATGAGTACTTTTGCTGAATTTGAGGCCTTCTGCAGTGCCGAACAATGGAAGGGATCCCGGCTTGAAAAGTATTCTACAGTGGATTCCATCGCATTCTGTCAAAAGGAGATTGCATATAATGCCATTGCCTGGAGCACAGGAATAACTTCATTAAGGAGAGATATGAGAGGTTCAATTGCAACTAATTCTTCCATAGCGTAACCCCTGGTAAGAAAATTGTGTGAGGACAACACTTACTTGAGGAGCAACAGTATTTATGCATATTTCTGGAAAAGGTGCCAGAACATGAGCAATAAGTTGGCAGCTCGATTTTGGACTAGTCTAAAGCAGTAAACTCGGGTCAGTGGAAATGGTCCCACTTTAGCTTGGATGGTAACTCAAAATGCATCTTCTTATTTGTATAGTTTTATATCTGTTTATAAGGCAACACATTTGGGCAGGACAAGCAAAACCGGCACTAACCTAACCAAAAAAGGGGAAAAAAAAAAGTTGTCAAAGAGGTAACATTTTATTGCTGTTGGGGTTTGGGTATAAGCTTTTCCTCAAGATTGCATATGGCAGTATGGGCACGGACAAATATGGCACTATAAATAGTGTTGGGATACATGTGATAGGAAATCACTTCTAACTTTTGAGGATCCACCTTTATTCATCCTACATTAAATCATTTCTGTGGCTGTCGGGCATGGGGAAGGCTGTATTTGTTTCCCAAGATGACATCACATGCAAAAAGTAATTTGGTAATGTGTACCCTAGTGGTAGGATATAGGAAAGAGATAGGAAAAGTCTTCCAAAGTTCATAGAAGGCCAACTACTGTTTATCCTGGATTGATAAAACTAAATAGAATGAGTTAAGAGTATTGTCTCCATTATTTGCAGAAGGTCCCAGGATGCTTATTGTGAATTACTTAAGTTCTCGCCTGTACAATTCAAGCAGCAGCTCATTAGAGGTGGGGATTGAACCATATGGGATGCCTGATGAACTTGCTCAATGCTCTTTGTGTAGGTTTATGCAGGGGAGTTGCTTTTTCATATAGTTTACTGGTCTGTTGACAAATCTTTCGGGTATAGATAGTGTAGTGCACATGCATTCATTTGATGAGAATGCTAATTAACAATTGCCATTGTAGTGGACCTGATTATTTGTGGGATTTGATTCCATGACAATCTATGATCAATTTCTATGTGTTGAGGTTTTCCTTTCTTCAAGCAAACTATGTTGCTTTGCACATGTTATTGGATGTTCTAGGATTGGTCTCTGTGCCATTACACCGCCATTGCCATCAGAGATTATGTTTCTTTGACATAGTGGCTTTATTACATACATGTTGATCCTTTTTCGCTTCTCCGGATGTATTCTATATAACCTTGTTTTCACTACTTCTATCATGGAATAATTTACTATGTATTATGATGTGGATTGTCTTCTGTTCCATTTGGTGGTTACATGTAAAAGCAAATGATGTGTATAGTATGCTCCCCACAAAGAAAATTTGCATTTACTCCCTCGGGCAAAATGATCTACTTAGTTGGATATATATATATATATATATATATATATATATATAGAGAGAGAGAGAGAGAGAGAGAGAGAGAGAGTAATAGTATCTAGTCGTACTACCCTACCTA